GCATTTTTTAAAATTACCTAAAAGAAATTAATTTTAAGATATACAAAAAATTAAGTAAAAGAAACTTTGATTGTAAATACTAAAAAAAATTATAGCATTATTGTTGTTAATAAATTAAATATCTTAAATGAACCATGAAGTATTTAAATAATTTCATGAGTATTTTTGTACTTTTTTTTGCAGCGGACTTGAAGACACTTTTGTAATAAGCTAATATGATACAGTAATGATTGTATTTGTGCGGGTATAAGGTAGCATAGTCATGATTGGTTGCAGGAATACTTTTATTGTTAGATGCAACCCTACAAGAAACTTACATGATAAGTTAAGAATAGAGAAAAGGATTAAGATTTTTTATTTCTTCAAAATTAGAGGAGGAGTAAGGAATACAGAACTCTTGGTAGAACAGTAGTAGTTCCCTGCATGATAATTCTCACAGGATTCGAGTTTAAGTCTAACTCATTTCCCCTTTTTTTTTTAAATGTAATACTGTTAAAAAAAAAGTGCGGAAAGAATAATTATTTCAACTTTTCCTATATACTTCTTACCTAATCTTAAAAAATAATAATAAACTTTAATTTTATATTTCCTATCTTGTCAAGTGTGTTTTTTTCTTTGTTTCTCTCATTTTTATGGTTTAACCAAATAATAGACATTCTTCTAATCAAGTGAACTTTTAATAATTATCTCTGTTTAGTTTTCTGACATTACACGTGCTTAGCTCCTTCTATAGCTATTATACAAACTACTGTTTTTTAGCAAACTCACAGAAATTAGTTTGGCATCCAAATTCTATCAAAAGACGCATAAATGGATGGAACAAGCGTGTCACTTGTCATTTGCATTTCCAAAGTTTATTATTATTATTATTATTATTATTTTGAAATTTGCTTCTAAAACTGGCATTATTTCAGGAGCATCTTCTTGAAGAGATTTGTCGTACTTGCAACGTCAGTCAAGGCAACTAAAGTCAGACTCAGACCAGGGAAAGGCCATTAAGAGAGGAGAAAATGACACAGAGAGCCCTAACCCGGTCAAGTTAAAGAATTTGAGGCGCTAACTGTAAGACGAGTCAGGGTTCTTCAGGTAGAACACTCGAGGAATACAGTGGGAAGAAAGCTTTGTGAAGAGGTTAATGAGCAAGAGAGCAATGTGAAGCAAAAATGTGCTAGAGAAGATGAAGAGCTTGTCGATATAAATGAAAAAATTGCTAAAATAGAGGCTAAGATGAAGGAACTAGAGACACTAGTAACAGAAGTAGAGGAACTTGAGGTAGCAGACAAAATGTTGTGTTTGAAGTCATGATCTTGTGAGGATAAATTCTGGGAAGGAAGTTAAAGGTATACATATGATGCTCTAAGGTAAGCTTATCCGTACTATATTTTAAAGTTTAATTTGATTTCCTCTTCTTCATTCAACCTTACTAGAGGAAGGTAAAAAGGATGTGCTTAGCGGTAACATTATTAAGACAGGATGTATGTGGATATGGTCTGAATATTTTTTCACTTGGTTGCAATTAATGGGCTGCGGAATTTTGAGAAGGGGAAGAGTTGCTGGATATTCATAATTGGAGTCCCACGTATTTGATATTTTGGTGCCGTTTGGGTGCTAGTTGCCCCAAAATAGTGCAAGTGCAAGCCAAGAAACATCTCCGAAAAAATCTTCTTTAGTGCAAGGGAAATGATGATTATGTGCCTGTTGCCCTCAATTAGTGTAACTGCAGGTAAGGGTGGGCATCGTTTAATTTTGGTTGTAATTGAGACCAAAATGTAAATTAACCGATTTTTTAGATTTCAAATTTTTAAAAACCAATGGCCGTACTGAAATGTGATAGTGCTTTTTTTTTTTTTTTTTTTTTTTACCTGTTTTTCTGGTTCGGTTCGGTCAAAAACCGATCCTCCTTGCGTGATATTTTCCATCCACGGAAGAGAGTTAGAGAGGAGAAAACGGCCATTACAGCATGGTGCTCTCGTGAGCAAACCCCCAATGAGGGCTCTGTGGTTTTTCTCTTCTTTTTTTTTTCTTTTTTTTTTATCAGTGAAAAAACTAATTTTATTAAGGACATACTTCGAAATCACGTTACATGGAAGAACAACTCTATGAACCTCAGGAAAAAGAAAAGGACATGTTGCAAAGAACTTCAAAGTGCTCCCAAACTTAGGTTTTCACTTCAGCTAACCTGCAAAGCCCCGAGGTTAGATCTCGAGATAAACACTCCGATACCTAAATTAGCAATAATTGGATCTATTAGATATGAAACAAAAGCTAAGCTTGAGATCAGTTTTCAATTACCTTTTAGGAAGACCCTTGAGGGTATTTATAGCCTTTAAAGAAGTATCCATGTGTTCATCTTTGCAGAAAACTGGGGTCATGTGTGTGAATCATTGCAGAAATCTTTCATAAGAAATCTATGAACATACAAAACTACTATAAAGCGAGAGCAGAGGGAACGAGCTCGAACTCAACTAAGTTCATTGCGCTTCAAACAAAGTTAAGCTAAAAGTTGTCGGGAATAACTTAGATCATTTGAGGTGCGTGACCTCGAACTACCAAAGTACGTGACCTCGGACTACCATCACTATAGGACAAATGACTAAAATTTCTACAAACTCAAACCAAAGAAATCATAATCAAGAACTTGTAAACAAAATGACAACAAATTAACAAAACCAACTCAATTCAAACAAAATGACAACAATCCAACCAAACCACTCAATTGAGGACAGTGTAATCTTACATACTTCCCTGGGGGGTCTTGTACCATTCCTCGAGATAGATGAGGCCATACTTTTGCTTTAATCCAATGAAAAGATCTAAATTTGATTAATTCAATTACCTTACCTTCCATTATAGGTTCTTCTCTAAATTCAACTAATTCCTCCATGGCCATAAAGACTAGATTACGGTGAACCTTACTATTGTCCAAGAATCCCTGGCTTTCAAAAAAAAAAAAAAAATTGTCCAAGAATCCCTTATAAGTCCTGTTGGAACAAGGCCAATGTGTTGTAACGAATGTTTCCACGTACCACCCTGTGCAATCACCTTTAATCCCCCACCATTTATAATATCAAGTCCAAATGGTCCAAGAAGTTTTGCACAAAAATAGCAAGTGGTCCGAGCTCTCCATGTGCAGCCCACAAAATTCACATTTTTCGCTGCACCTTTGTCCACAATGAGCTCTCTCTTGAGCGGGTTTTCATTACTTGGAATCCTGTTTTGTAGCACTTTCCGAGCACATGCGAAGACCCTCAATGGTAACTTATTATCCGAAACGAGCTTAAGTGATTCTCCCTCCTTGCATTTTGATTCTGGTTCAGGACTAATATGCCGAACTCACTGTATGTTTGCCTTTAGAGTTGTGCTTCCAAAGCCATCAATCC